CATTGTAAAAAAAAAAAAAACAAAAGGGCAAAAGTCAGAATTGATTTTCCCACCTAAAAGGTGGGAAAATCTTTTCCCCTCACGCCTAGAAATGGGCGCGTGAGGGGAAAATGGTTCCCTCATTTGCCAGGCAACTTTTTGCCTTTCAAACGCCAATAATTGGCTGAAATTGGAATATATTTTCCTTTTCCATTCATTTTCCAACCTATCAAACACACCCTTAAATTTTCTAACAAGGTTTTTAATTAATCAACTCTCGTTATGTATCCCAAAGGAATTATGCAGTCTTTTTCCTTATTTAATATTTTTCCCACATAGTTTTCATTGGTAATATCTTAACGAGGCATATTATTTATGAATAGACATTCAAGAGGGAAGTGTTCTAAATATTATATTATATAGAGGGAGCGTTCCTTCTACCAATATTTGACAAATGATTTTGACAAAAAATCTCAATGACTAATTCAATTTAATATAATGTTTTAAATGATTTGAGTAGAAGTCTTTGAAATTACACACACACACACACACAAAATTGACTCCAAAGAGAGACTGATTAGTTGGTAGTATGGTTTCTTCGACTTACGCGAGAAGAAAGTGTAAATAAGGAGCTCGGCATTTCGAATGAAATCGAAAGTGGAATCTGATGCAGTGATGCTCCACTCGTCCAATGATGCTCCATTCGGCCTAAATCTAAAATTGTGCCTAGTTACAACCCCATAATTTCTAACAGCTTGCTTAAACTCCTCAATATTTTTGAACTCTTTCCCAACCTCTAATTGCGGGTCGTACTTTTCGCTTTCAGTATCATAAATGGGAAAGTGATAACTCTTTTCTTCACTAGAAGAATTATCAGCATGCAGTTCATCCTCACTAGGACAATAACCATCATCATTTCCTAACTCCTCTACGTTTGCAACCTTGAATTCAAGTGTCGGGTCTGCATTAAATCCCACCAGAACACGTTCAGGTGCATTTGTGTCAAACTGAAAACCATCATCATTAACTTCATCATCTTAGTCATTCAAGTGGCATTCGACAAGTATCAATTCGTCTTCATCGAAGGTCAAGTCTACATTAAAAACACTAGGTTAGGATTTTTCAAACACCTCCACATATGCAAATACAATATAAGAATATAAACATGGATGAATATGGTTCTAAACATAGAAATTGTTGTCCCACATAATACAATGTAGATTCAACGTGCTTCCAGAGAAAAAAACATAAAATGATGCAAATAAACAAAGATACTATTACGAAATTGTGGTCCCATAAGAGAATATTCAGAGTCCATTGAAAAGAAAAATAAATTTAACATGTGGTTGCCCATCATCATCTATCACCAATCTTGTTTCTTCCACAGTGACATTGCGTTCCATACCCAAGGCTAGTGGGTTTTCTTATTTCAAAGATTTTGGTTTTGCTCAAAATTAGGTAGGTTGATAGTGATTTTTCAACTTGGATTCTCAATCTTTGAATTTCATATTTGGAAGAACATTCATGAAGATGAAGCGTAAATGAGGGCTCATGTCTGTAGAGAGAGAGAGAGAGAGAGAGAGAGGGATAGAGATTTCATGGGCTCCTATCCGAAAATGAGGGCTCCTATCTGTGAAGAATTTCATGGGTTTTTTGTACTTTTGGCCCACCAGGCTTCAATTTAACTTCCGTTATGTGCCACGTTGGATTTCCTTCCGCCACGTGGCACATTCCGTTAGTTGCACTTGACGGAGTTCAGACGGGTGATATATTAGATAGATGGGTGAGCAATGGGTAATATTTTATTATTTAGTGAGCAAATTGTAATATAGATTAAAGATGGGTGAGCATTCATTAAATTTAGCCCCTGTTTGGCCCCCATTATTATAGATTTTTAGGGGGTTGAAAATTTTTAGAATAGTGATTGATGGGAGATGTGTGGTTGAAAAGTTTTAGATTTGTGTGTATTATTATTTTATTTGATGAATGTATGATAAGGCTTCAATTTAACTTCCGTTACGTGCCACGTTGGATTTCCTTCCGCCACGTGGCACATTCCGTTAGTTGCACTTGACGGAGTTCAGACGGGTGATATATTAGATAGATGGGTGAGCAATGGGTAATATTTTATTGTTTAGTGAGCAAATTGTAATATAGATTAAAGATGGGTGAGCATTCATTAAATTTACTCATTATTCTCCTGTATACTTGGAATAATTCTTCCAACTTTCCCCGTTTCCCGTGTCCTCACCTTCACCCTCCCCCTCTCTGTCTCTCCGTCTCTCTTCAAATCAAAAGTCCAAATTGATTGTCTTCATCAATTGCTTCTCAAATACCTAGAAATCACGTGCAAACCCATGTACAAAATATAAACATAAAATTCAGAATGCTGATGTTCAAAGGGCTGTAGAAGAGATGTGGAGTTTGAAGGTAGAAAGAAGTAAGAAAATATAAACATAAAATCCAGATTCATTTTTTAAAAATCTTCTACAATTCAGAAATTGGCCAACCCCATCCCCAATACCTCTTAACCTTACCCACCTAAATCTACATACTCATCCCCCTTCTCTCGATGTATATGAAATATGCAGAGATAGATTCAAACGGGAAGAGAGTTTAATTATACACCACCGCTATGTTGCCAGGGAGGGTTTGATACCCTCCCTGACAGCGCCTTTATACACTTATTCGGGATTTAAAATATCGATGTTTGACAGTTCTTTTGATAAAATATATTCTAAATTATTGTATTTTATGTTATATAAGTAAAAATCAATGGTTGAACGAGGAATTGAAAGAAAATGAAAAATCAAGGGAAATATGGTGAAGTTTAAAGTTTGATGACCAAATTGAAAATATTCAATAGTTGATTCGGACAACAAGAAGATACATTGAAGATTGCTAGGTGATAATTGGGTGCAATTAGAAGTCAAAAAGAAATTGAATATGATCAAAATAAATTTTCAATCGCACAAGTTATATTTCAAATTTTTAGTTACAGATTGAGACCAATTTTGGTATAGCAAACGTCCGAATTGAAAAAAATTATATTCAAGCAAACAATAGAAAATAAAAATATACTTTGGGCTAATAAGGGGAATTCGTTATTGAAAACAAAACCTTATGGGAAGTTTTTCTAATTTTTGAAACTATAGGGATGTCTCTCAAATTATCATAATTCTCAAAGGAGATTTATGACGTTTGCCCAAAATTATAATTGATAATTAAAAAAATAAAAGTTGTAGATCTACGAAATGTGTGAATAGAAATAGCGTTTAATCAAAGGAAATGGCTATTTGTACAGCCTCAACTTCACAGCTCGGGTCACAGCCTCCTCACAAAATCGCGGGGGCCGCCCCTGAATGTGATTATTTTAATCACGGGCTCCGCCTCTGAATGTGAGAGGACTGTGATTCATGCTGTGAACCGGGCTGTGGTTGTAGCAGAGCTCTTAATCAAATTGGAAGCAATTATAATTTTTGACAAACATGAGCTAAATTCTCCCAGTTTCATAGCATCCAATACTTAAAAATAATTGTATCTCAATACATTTTAAGTTTTTTAATGAAACAAGCAAACGCGTTATTAAAGCAAACAACCACGGTGGTCGTCTTGGAAATAAGTCTCCAGCCGTACATTTATAATTGTGTAGGCTTCAACATATAGCGAAAAAATGAATCTAACATATACATGAGAATATTCATTCAAGACGAAATTGAAATAAAAAATATATCACTTTTTTAAATGTTTAAAACTTTTAGATGAGAATATTTAAGAATTTTCTCTTTTCACAGTCGATGTCAAACTAACTAAACAGCATTGTCTTCCAAGATACATTTTTCTCGATTTTATTTTCAACCACAGATTCCTGAATAATATAATATTACAAGCAAAATCCAAAACTTTTCCTTATTTTTTAAACATATGTTCTCCATAAAATCACTATTCAAAATGTATTGTTTGGAAAGAAAAAAAACAAAAGGGGTTCAAACATGCTCTAAAATTCTTATGATATGCTAAGTTTGCTTTGAACATATCTATTTCTAAGATATATTCTACTTGTTTGTTTTGTCCACAATAACAAGCCCTTATATATAATCCAATACTCCAAAATTAGTTTGGTGAAGATACCATATTTGTTATGAACTCGAAGCTCGTAGGATCATTTTTATTTAAAGAATAATGTTATTGGCAGTCGATGATTACAGTAATCGCTCTACGCGACATTCTATATGTCAACTTGTTATTTGAGACAGTAACTTGTTCTTAGCGAATAACAAGCTTCTGTTTATAACTCAAAACTCGAAAATTAATTTTATGCACATTCCACATTTGTCACGACCGAAATATATCTATTATTATATACGTTCTTCTTTTGACTTTTAACAAATGAAAAACCTGTAAACCCGCGTGAATTATTTCTCAATTCAGTACCAAAATCATCTTGATTTGTCTTTATATTAGTCATATGTATTTAGGGAAAAATGACTTCCAAAACGAGTAACAAATTTGACAAAAAAAAAAAAAAAAATTTTGCATTGACGACAAGGACAAATCCAACACCTCCACAAAATTAGTGTAGTGTAGTGGTGTGTATCCTCGTATATTTTCGAGTAACCATGAAAACGCGCCTTTTTGGGACCCCCAATAAATGCTATTTAAGACCGCATGCATTTTGAAAAACAAGAATTCATACTAGTCTTTGCTATTATTAAGCTTAATCTTCTAACAAAGATTTGGTGGGGGGTAAAATGCGGCTTGATCTACAGAAAGAGGGTCCTAATAATGGTGAATCAGAACAGGGAAACAGTTCTGATGATGAACAAATAGTTATGACTTCGAGAAAGTAAGTCAACGGATATTCTATTTTGATTTCCTCGTAGAGCTTTTCGAGTTATATGTATTTCTTGGCTAAAATTCGTAAATGAAGTCGAGAAAGTAAGTCAACGGATATTCTATTTTGATTTCCTCGTTGATCTTTTCGAGTTGTATGCATTTCTTGGCTGAAATTCGTAAATGAAGTCGAGAAATTAAGTCAACGGATATTCTATTTTGATTTCCTCGTAGAGCTCTTCGAGTTGTATGCATTTATTGGCTAAATTTGGTAAATGAAGTCGAGAAAGTAAGTCAACGGATATTCTATTTTGATTTCCTCGTAGAGCTTTTCGAGTTATATGTATTTCAATGAAGTCGAGAATTGATATGGGTACTTCTTAGTTTCTTTGGATTTTGGTTGAATTTGCTTAATTGTTTGGTATTGATGTTGATTGTTTCTTGTCCTTAATTTTCCTAGCTCAACTTTTCTTGGCTCAATTTGGAAAAATAAGTTAAGAACTGATATGGATCCTGCTTATTTGCTTTAGATTGTCGTTGAAATTTCCTCTTTGCTATTTTTTTTTTCTCTCTGTTGGTTTTAGGATGATGAAAAAGGAAGTGGAGGTGATGGTGATCCATACGGTTCAGCAAGTTATAAGGCCGATTGCGGAGGATATGATTCGGAAAGTGGTGTGTGCCAACAATGAATCTTTTGACCATATGTTTTTGTATGATTTTTTCTAAATATTTAGGTTTCCTTGCAATCAGATTGTTTTTACGTAAGAATTAATTATTTTTGTATGGTTCTTGTGAATAGAGGATCCATATGGGTTACCGGGGGAGGGATGGGGATTCTTGGTATTCTGAATTCTAGATATTTGATGTTCTATCCTATTAATCAGGTAAAGGGTGTACTACTTTAAACCATTTAACTAATTACAGTGGTTGAAGCCAATTTGTTAGCAACTCCCACATGTCATATTATGTTCTGTCTACCCCCCCACACCCGAGAGTCTTCTGTCATGTTCTAGCAACATTGCGTCATTCTTATGAACAAGATCTATGCAAAATACTTTTTTCAACTTCTTATTAGTTTTATAGTGATGGAGATTAGAAAATATGGGTAATCTCTAAATTCCAGTGCGTTCAGAGCCATATTTGTGTAGCAGTTAGGTGAGTGAGCTCAAGTACTGTAGGTGTTCATTCAGTTATTCTTTGTTGACATGTCCAATAAATATTCTCTATTCAACTAGTTTTCTTATCCAAGTGTCCCAACTAAGACTGATAATTTGGGCGGATCAATAAATCTTCTCTGTTGTACTTATCGTGTCACTACATGTCGTGTTGCTGAAAATGAGCAAACTGGTTATGACTGATAATATTTGTAGTACCTTGGTTATCCTATAAATGACGCGTCTTTTATATGGAAAAAGGGATCAGCTTTGTACCTCAATTATTATGATTCTAACTGCTTGTGGCGGATTTTGTAGCATGGTTTAAGTACCAACATCAAGATCTGTCATAACCAGTTTGCTCTCTTCATAATTGTGAACGAACATGAAATGTGATCTATCTTCCTTTGACCTTGAATTAAGGCAAATCTTTTGTGCTAATAGTTGTTTTCTGTAACTCTGGTGGCTTGACAATTAATAAATTTTTCATTCTCTCCAGGTAAAAGAGGAAATTCAATTGGCACAGGAAAAGTTCTTGACTGGCCAGAATCAGTGAGGACTTATGTTACAGATTTGATCATTTTCCCGAGAAAATGATGGAGCCTAAAGCAAATACCTATATAAAAAGAATCTATATAGGGCCCCAATTATATACATATACATATACATAATACACGTGTGTGTGCGTGTGCGTGTGCGTGTGTGTGCATCACAGTTCTTATAATCATTGCCAACAAATCTCTTGTGTCATATTCAGGAACTCTTTGGACAAGACTATTACGTCGAGACCAAGAAATTTAGAGCTGAAATTCTTAGACGAAGTGTCTGATCCAGTTTTGACAGGGAAGGAAATTAAAGGAAAGGAAAGGACTCACATTCAAGTTTCTCTAGTTGATAATGTAACTGGGCTTCTTGTCGTCTCTGGGCCTGAAGCCTCAGCGAGGGTGGAGATATTAGTTCTCGAGGCAGGTCCTAATGATAATGCACTCAATGGGAGTCTTAAAGACTTCAATAATAGCATCATTAGAGAAAATGACAAGACAAAGCCCCATTTTCCTAAACCTGTCTATATTTGTCTCGAGAAAGGCATTGGTGTGTTGTCTAATGTCAAGTTAGCACATGATTCACACTGGATGAAGAACTGCAAATGCAGACTAGGGGCAAGATTAGTGGATACATTTGATGGATGTACTGTGAAAGAAGCATGGACAAAGTCATTTATGGTCCAAGATAGCCGCCGCAAATGTAGGTAGAACTTACTTTGATTTAATTCTTCTGGTTTCCTTAAGAATTTATTATACACTATAACATCTACACATATTTGGTATGCAGTATTAAATAGGACTCGACTCTACAATAGATAAGTTTTTTAACTTCTTTTAGTTTTTGAATCCAATTCACCTTATGTTACCTCATGCATAAATGCGTATATTAATAATATGCTTGTCTGTGTTTCATTATAGTCTCCTTATAATTTAAGTTCAAAGTCAAAAAATTTAACCACATATTCATAACTACTACCCATGAAATCCGTGGGACCCATTACTCCTCTTCATTATATTCACATTTTAAAATTTTTCCAAACAAGCATTTAGTCTTTTTCTCCTTGCAATCCAACTAGGTCGTTGCCCTGCTAGTCTCCTTTTTATTTGTATAGCTAACTCTATCAAAATATAAGCAAGACTTGGTGGGGTAAATCATTGAAATTCCAGGGAATTTTTCAAAAATGAGGATAAAGAAATCAGTATAACTGCTGGTTTCTGTTTGCAGTGTATGAGAAGCACCACCCACCATCTCTTTCTGATCCTGTATGGAGATTAGACAACATTGGTAAAGATGGTGCTCCATGTAAGCGTCTGGATAAGGCAAATATTTCTACAGTACGGGAATTTCTGTTTTTACTCTCTGTTGACCCTCAGAGACTCCAAAAGGTATTGATCAATGCACTATCCCCTTTTGTTTAAACTTGCAATTCTTATTACTAATGCTATTAGCTTTTGCTTATTCTATTTTCCCATATTGAATAAAAAGCACTTAATGTTAGTTGCTTGCTTTGGATATATATGTTTGTTTACATTGAACCTTTCAAACACAAATCTGTTTGGACTTTGTATTGCTCATTCTCTCTATAAAAGCAATGAGGCAGTTAACTTGCCAGTTTTGCATCAAAACATAGATTCAATGGACAAAATTTTACTCATTGTCTTTATGTTTGCCCGTGTTTTATTTACTTAAAATACATGTATTTGGAATTCTCTGCAGATTTCTGTAATCTATTGTAGAATATTAATATAGCCCCTGTTTGGTTCTGATGCTAATCAGATTAGTATCAGAATCTCATAGTTTGAAAGTGGGAATTAGAATTAAAAAATTCTGTCAAAAAAATAAGAGAGTTGAAGGACATCCCATCATTCACACTTCCTTCCACTACCCATTCTACCCTTGTGCATTGTGAGCTTGTAAGTAAATTAATTTTTCCGAAGGGCAAAACATTCTTTGAACACAACTAGTACGTGATGAGATGGGAGAAAAGATATCCACATTGTCATGAAATTATATTTTATTGCTTAAAGGCCCAACAAATTAGTGACAGAATCAATTTTCTTGCAAAATTGGGGATCAGACAAAGGCATAGTATCTATGAAGATAATTGAATAGAAAAGGAAATGAATATTGTCATGTATTATTAATGGTAGGAATAAAGATGACACTATCATGTTGTCACAAATGATTGTTTCAAGTACTCAGATTTTATGACTAACAAAGGAGGTCTTAAAAAAAATAAAAATATAGTGCATAGATTGAATGAAATGGGGAAGTGCTACAGGGACTCGGCTTGATAGGAACATCCCTTTAAGATTAAAAGGCAAATTCTACCAAACAATTATCATATGCACTATGCAGTATGATATTTCGTGTAGGGCCAATGAAGGACATATGTCCATAAGAGAAACGTAGCGGAGAGGAAGTCTTAAGATAGATGTCTGGTCTTCATAGTAAAATGGATAAGACAACAAATGACTATATGCGCCAATAACTAGAGCTGACACTGATTAAGGATAAATTAAGGGAACAACGTCTTAGGTGGTTAGTACATGTTTTGCTTGGACCTAAAGAAGCTTCCATTCACAAGAGTGGTGCATCCCAATAGAACAAGTTAGAAAAGGGAGGGACACGCTGAAATTAACATAAATTGTTGTGGTGGCGAAGGATTTGATTGCTTTGGATCTTTCAGTAGACATAGTGATGGATCAAATAAAGTATTGGAATGGATTCATGCAGCTAATCCCGAAGTTGTTGAGTACAAGGTATAGTTTGTTGTTTTATATGAAAATTTATAGCTTCCAAATCTTCTCTTGATTAAAATTGAAGTGACAATTAATAGTTACAATAGAACTAGGATACACATTACATTGTAGCTCAGACTATTAATTTCATATTATTTCTCTGAATGTATGTCTACCATATATGATCAATTTAAATTATACATCTGAATTGACTCTATATTCTGGAATAATAATCAAAACATTTATTCGGGATGTCTACAGATACTTGGCACAGGTTCTAAGACATGGAACACCACTGTAGATCATGCTCGTCAATGCATCATTGACGATAGAAGGATATACTTCTACAACTCTTCCACTGAATACAAAAATGGTGTAGTTTTTGATACTGTGGGACAACTGAAAGGGGTACTCCGTAACTACCAATTTGTTCCCATTGAAAGTGCATACGAGGCTGAAAAGGTCTGCCTTTTCCCAATCACTTTCTTGCTCTTTCTTTGTAGGGTGACAAATGTTTTCTCCTTAACAGTCTGATCATCATTTCTAATGATTTAGAGTCATTTTTTATAGGCTGAGGCACAGGAGTTACTAGCATCTGCTTTTGAAAATCGGATGGATATAATCTCTTTCGATGATGAAACATCTTTTTTGCATCAGTTTCCATGCATATTCAACGACAATGTCACCAACTCCTCTGGGCTGTACAGTCTAGATGTTCTAGACTGTAATTGCAGCATCATTGAAAATATTGATCGACATGATCCTACACAGCCAGATACCTCTTCTCTGGGAACCGGTCCATCTATCATTCATTCAAATATTTCCTGTCATATTGGCTCACTCAGCTCCGACAATGTTGAATATTCATGTGAACTGCCTTTAGGGGCTTCTGGCCAGAGCCCAAGTTGCTCAATGTCAGATTTTAATCCTCTGTGGGACATTTTTGGAGACTCTCTTATTTCAAGCAATAACAACCAGCTTCCCGAGATCCCTAGGGTTGAATCACATTCTGATCAACAAAGTACTGCTGGAAGTATTGGCTTTGTTGGTGCTGTTATAACTCTACAATGGTTGTTTCGTGTAAGAAAAAAGGCTGCGTCTTTAGGTGATAGTCAGGTTCGGAAAAGGCAGAGACATGGTTGCTTTTGAAGGTTCTTTTAGAAGGTTAAATATGTTGGTGGTTTCTAAACTTATAGTGAAATTTCATGTTGACCACCAAATTTCATTTTGTTTCTAGTTGGTCACTAACTTAAACTTTTTTTCAAGTTGGTCGCTATATATTTTGTCAATCTGACTACCGGAAAATGTGACGTGGCAGTTTAGTTATTTGCCAACTAGCCTACCACATCAGCTTTTCCAATAGTCAAACTGGGGGCAATGGATAGAATCACCAAATTGTAATAAATGTTTATGTTAAAGTAAAAGAATTAGAAGGCTTAACAATTGTGTTAGCCTGTCCCACTATTTATAATAAGAGTTAGGAAAACCTTAGGAAACCCTAGGTATTACATAAAAGACCTAAATACCCTTTAACACTCCCCCTCAAGATGGAGCATATATATTGTGTGCTCCAAGCTTGTTACAAATGTACTTTATCCTTGAGCCCCCCAACGGTTTAGTAAATATATCAGCTAATTGATCAGCTGAGTTTACATATTTAGTCTCAATCTGCTTCTGCAACAATTTTTCTCGAATAAAGTGACAGTCAACTTCAATGTGCTTCGTTCTCTCATGGAAGACTGGGTTGGATGCAATGTGAAGTGCTGCTTGATTATCACATACCAGTTCCATCGGTGAAGTGTGTTCAAATCCAAGTTCTTCCAACAAATGTTTCAACCATGTTAACTCACAAGTGGTATGCGCCATTGCCCTGTATTCCGACTCTGCACTCGACCGCGCCACTACCGTCTGCTTTTTACTCTTCCAAGAGACAAGGTTACCACCAACAAACACACAATACCCAGTAGTAGATTTCCTATCTAGGGGTGATCCAGCCCAGTCTGCATCTGTGTAGCCCTTTATTTGAGTATGTCCAAAATTTTGATATAGCAAACCACAACCAGGAGCGCCTTTCAGATATCGGAGAATACGAATCACTGCATCCCAGTGACAAATCATTGGACGACCCAAGAACTGACTAATAACACTAACAGCAAAGGAGATATCTGGTCTGGTAACTGTCAGGTAGTTCAACTTTCCAACTAACCGTCTATATTGAGCTGAATCTGTCAGTGGTATACCCTGATCTGGCAATAATTTGGTGTTTGGATCCATAGGCGAGTCAATAGGTTTTGCTCCTAGCATTCCTGTTTCGCTCAATAGATCAAGGACATATTTTCTCTGGGACAGGTAAATGCCCTGACTTGATCGAGCAACTTCAATCCCCAAGAAATACTTTAAGTGCCCCAAATCTTTGGTTTGGAACTTACTATGCAAACACTTTTTGAGTTCTTGAATACCACTGTGATCATCCCCAGTAATCACGATGTCATCCACATACACAATTAACAATATTCTGCCGACTTTACTGTGCTTGTAGAAGACAGAATGATCGACTCCACAACGCTGAAGACCAAATTCAGTGACCACTTCACTAAATCTTCCAAACCATGCTCTAGGAGACTGCTTGAGGCCATAAATAGACTTCTTCAAACGACATACCAAATCAGACTCCCCCTGAGCAACAAACCCAGGAGGTTGCTCCATATAAACTTCCTCAGTCAGATCGCCATTTAAGAAAGCATTCTTGATATCGAGCTGATGTAAGGGCCAAAGAAAAGTGGCAGCCAGAGAGATGAACAAACGAACAGAAGCGAGCTTGGCAACGGGAGAAAATGTCTCATAGTAATCAAGACCGTAGACCTGAGTATAGCCTTTAGCAACTAAGCGAGCCTTGAGTCGATCAACGGTGCCGTCCGGATGAACCTTAACAGTGTACACCCATTTACATCCAACTGTAGTTTTGTCAGGCGGAAGCGAGACAAGATCCCAAGTGCCATTCTGATGTAAAGCAGTCATTTCTTCCTCCATTGCTTTTGCCCAACCAGGGAGAATAAGGGCCTCTGAAACGGACTTAGGAACAGAAACAGAGGACAGAGAAGCAACAAAAGAGGAGTATGAATGAGATAGGTGCGCATATGAGACAAAGTTAGAAATAGGATGGGTAGTACAGGTGCGCTTACCTTTCCGGATGGCAATGGGCATGTCCATGTCAGACATGGGCGGGTCTGCTGGAGAAGAATCTGAGGGCACAGAATTGATGGGCACAGCAGCGGAGGCGTCCTTCTGGCGACGAGAGTATACCTGCAAAGGGGCCGAAGAACGATTGGAGGGGATAGGATCTGGAGCGGAGGAAGATAGCGTAGGGGTAGGGTCAATGGGCAAAGGAAGTGTAACATCCAGATCAACTTGAGATGATGGGGTAGAAAAGTAAGGGGTGGACTCAAAGAATGTAACATCGGCACACACAAATGAGCGACGTAATGATGGACTATAACATCGATAACCTTTTTGCGTGCGAGAATAGCCGAGGAAGACACATTTTAAAGCACGGGGATCTAACTTGTCCCTGCCGGGAGTCAACTGATGAACAAAACAAACACACCCAAATATGCGAGGAGGTAAGCTAAATAAAGGTGAACGGGGAAAAAGAATGGAATGGGGAACCGTGCCTCGCAGGGTAGAGGATGGCATCCGGTTGATTAGGAAGCAAGCTGTAAGAACCGCATCGCCCCAGAAATGTTTGGGAACGTTCATCTCAAAAAGGAGAGTACGGCCCACCTCTAGGAGATGTCGATTCTTACGCTCAGCAACCCCATTTTGCTGTGGTGTGTGAGGGCAAGAAGACTGATGCAGGATACCAGAGTGCGACATATAGGAAGTAAAGGGCTGAGAAAAATATTCTCGAGCATTATCACTACGAAGAATACGCACGGGTACATTAAATTGGGTTTGAACTTCAGCACAAAATGCACGAAAAATAGAGAATAATTCGGAACGATCTTTCATTAAATAAAGCCAAGTAACTCTTGAAAAATCATCCACAAAAGTGACAAAATAACGAAAACCAATTGTAGAAGTAACACGAGAAGGACCCCAAACATCTGAATGAACTAAACTAAAAGGACTCGATGCTCGAACATGAGCAGGGGAAGCAAATGAAACACGACGATGCTTACCCAATTGACAAGACTCACACTCTAAAGAAGACAAATGACTGAAACTAGGAAAGAGTAACTTGAGGTTGCCAAGGCAGGGATGACCAAGGCGACAATGGATTTGGTGAGCAGATGCAACAGCAGGACATGCAGTAGGAGGGTGTGCAGGACTCTCATCACGATCAAGGTAATAAAGGCCATTGTCCTCACGCCCTGTGCCAATCGTCTTCCGCGTCCTCAAATCCTGGAGAATGACAGAATCAGGAAAAAATGAGACAGAACAATTAAGATGTTTGGTGAGTTTACTAACTGACATCAAATTAAAGGAAAACGAAGGAATATACAAGACGGAGGAGAGAGATAAGGAGGGTGAGGGGTCCACTGTACCAATGCCACGGATAGGGATAGTGGAACCATCAGCAACCGTAACAGGAGACAACGAAGAAGAGGACTGAATATGCGTAAATAAAGAAGATGTACCTGACATGTGATCAGTGGCTGCGGAATCTATGACCCAGGGTGAGGGAGGGGATGGACGAATGGAAAGACAAGCAGAAGAAGTACCTCGTTGAGCTAAAGAAGCAATAGGAAGAGATGCCTGCTGAGATGCCCTATACTGAAGGATCTGAGCATATTCCTCATCAGATATGTCCTTAGCCGCCTGAGATACTGGAATGATAGGAATATCTGGATCAAATGTCACTGCATTGGCAAATTTGGGTGGACGGCCAACCAAATCCCAACATGTGTCTCGATTATGATTCTCCAACCCACAAAAGGAGCACTGACGAATGGAGACACGACCACGGCCACTACGTCCACCCCGAGGGCCACTACCACGGCGACCACGAGAGAAACTACCACGACCACCACTAAGTGGATCATCTCGATTTCGAGTGGGAATCTGTGTAACAAGTGCCGAATGCTCAGATGACGTAGACGAACCCGAGCCAGAAACATTGTCCTTGGTAGTACTACGGGAAACACGAGAATACATTTCAGTGATGGTGGGGAGGGTAGCACTCGAAAGAATCTGAGATCGGACTGGTTCGAAGTCTGGACGTAACCCAGCCAAGAACTTCATGACAGCCATCTGCTCACGTTGCTTTTGCATTTCCTTCAGATCGATAGTCAGTGGTAGGATAGTATTCATCTCCTCATAGAGGCGGTTGAATGTGGCAAAATAATCTGTAACGGATTGCGTGCCTTGCTGAAGTTGGAAGTACTCCACTGATAAATCATACATCCTGGTGAGATTACTAGAATATAATACACGGAGATACTCCCATATATCTTTGCACGTATCTAGATGAGTACAGAGATCAGCCACCTGAGGCTCCATCGAATTCCACAACAATGTTACAATCTGCGCATCAGCCTGAATCCAGTCGTCATACTTTTTATCATCTGTTGCCGGGGCAGATTCCGTGAGGTGACGATGTTTTCCCTGTCCAGTTAGGGCTATTTTCACAGCTTTAGACCAATTTAAATAATTGGTTCCGTTCAACTTACGGGTTGTTAATGGTTGAGGTGTAGTCATCGATATTAATACCTTCCAATTCAACAAGTAATAAACAGCTCGCACAAGGGAAACAAACCAACAATACAAACAACTGTAGGGCTTAAACGAAGAACGTGAGAGTCATAACCAGACTTACGAACATTTGTAGTACTGTCATACGAACAATAACCAATAACTAGAAGCAGATCTGAAATTAGCAGATTGAACACGGACCAAAAACCAGCCGGATGAACAGTACCCGCGGATGAACAGTGTCGGATGAACAGTAACCGGATTTTTTTTTTTTTTTTTTTTTAAAGAAGGAAAAAAAAAAATTTGTTTGAACAAAGTTTATGGAATTAATCTCCCATAACCTTGCTCTGATACTCTGTTAAAGTAAAAGAATTAGAAGGCTTAACAATTACGTTAGCCTGTCCCACTATTTATAATAAGAGTTAGGAAAACCTTAGGAGACCCTAGGTATTACATAAAAGACCTAAATACCCTTTAACAGTTTAAGTTCAATGACCAATTTGGAAAACAATTTAAGTTCAATGACTAACATGATGTTTTATTAAGTTTAGGGACCACCAGTGTTTCTAGCCTTCTTTTAGATGTTGCAACATTTGCAATCGAGGAAAAGCAACGAACTTTGGATTTGCATCAAATGCATGTAGATATACATGTTACAGGTCAATAAGTTAAGTCTCTATCTCATAAGCCATGAAATGATGAAAGAAAAAATGCACTTCGGGTTAGAGAATTTTCCTGCTACACGAAATTTGCAAGTATTTTTTTTTCTAGTTCTCTCCCATTAAATGGCGCGTTCTTGGAGTTATTGATATTATGTAAATTCTAGAGGCGAATAATGGCTATGAGAAAGTTGAACTGGACTTGTAATGGAAACTAGCTAGTACATGCTCTATGAGGGGACAATTACTGGAATTCTTCCTGTATGAACTTGACATGCAAAGTCGAGTCAAGAAAGAATTCTTGGCTTCAGTAGCCCGTTCATTTCTAAGTTCTCCAAGTTTTATGTGCCTGATACAGTTCAAAGGCAACTTTTGTGGGAGTCAGGATGGAAGATTGTACGGGATGGAAATGTTATAGGGAATACCTACCAAGTTGCTTTAGTAGTTCAATACTCTGTACTGGACACAGACTACAATATAACGAACAGAAAGTTAGCATTCATACAGTGATTCTCAAGCTGATAAAAATGGCGATCAGTCCATTTTGGATGGAGAAATGCTGCTGTGGTACATACTTTCCAGTTTTTACTATGATGAAGAAGATGGAATTAGGAGGATTTCTTGTACTCGTTTCTTTGTATAGTAATAATCAGTTTAACTGACATTTATCAGGAAAAATGCTGAATTTGTTGTTATACAGTAAAGAGTTTATACATTGGATAGAAGGAATGTTCCGAAACTATTAGCAATGCTATTAGTTGTTAACGAAGTTGCAATACTTGAACTAAATGAATACCAATTGGTGTGTATACTTTTGGGATTTACGGCATCCATTTTCACACTATGAACTCTTACTGATTATACATCTTCATCCATCCTGAAATGAAAATTCAGTTCTATGTAAATTACTTATTTTAAGTGACTCATACCTTAATCCTCAAAACAAGCAACTTATTCTTCACTTTTAACCAATCAAAACAAGTATTTGTTTTAGAACTTCTATTCTTAAAAGTAAACTTTCTAAGCTTTGCCATACATGACGGGGGCTCGAAGCTTGCTGCATGTTTCTTTGCTCGCGGTCTTTCTAACAAGTGCCTACCCCACCTGTGAGTAAATAAATACAACGTTCCCCATTTAAGAGTGAATCTCAAAAGAATACGAAAAAGACCACTAAATATCACTTCTTAGAGCACCTACATTATCAAATTCTAATCCAAAAATCTACAGGCATTTTAAGTGCAAAATCTTCAGACCCCTGAATGAAGTACTGGCCTCAAATAGCTTTTCATTTTTACAATTAAGTATAAAAAGAATATGTATAGATCGTATAATCGAGCAACGTCACTGTTGATATATTGAGAAATTGTCCATTAAAGATAATGTTTTCGAAGAAATTGTCATGTAGGTGAGATGTAGATTCGAACACAGAAGCCATAACCACGGAGTGATCCATCTTCACGATCCATGCCCTAGATGGTTTTATCTTGGAAGATTTCTACATTTTACAAGCCTTGGTTTCGTCGCAGATTTCTCCCTATGAAGTAAAAAAGTAAGACATTAGAGAATTGCTCTGTTATCTCAAGCTCAAGGATTTTAAAGAGAACTGTGTATCAAAGATATACTACGCTGAAAAACAAGAAAGAACACTCTGATCTGATATGATTTACCAGGAAGAAAATTTGCTCGTCTTCTTAAAGAGTAAAAAATTATTAGAGTATATATTCACTTTCTAGTATGTATGAAGAACGAAGAAAAATGAAGATTATAATTGCAAGTGAATTCAGACCTTTTTCCTCCGTGCCTCCAAAACTTCTTCTAGAGGTGGTCGACCTGTAAGAAGAAGGCCGTCTGATGAAAACTAATACAGGAATGTGATGCCGGTGAACTATTAATATATGGTATAGTGGTAATGACGTTCTCATGCATTGAGAGATAAAAGCTCCAAAATCAATAAATTTAACGCTTCACACCCATCAGATTCAACAAAAAAATTATTGAACTATGCTACGAGTATAGTGAAATTTCACAGAATACACATAGAAATTTGAAATGGATGGACTGGATTCAAACGTGGAGGAGGGAAAACACAGATACACGCACATGATTTTTCCAATTCAAAATTCTGTACAAAATCTGGCAACATTTCTCGTACTTGAAGGAATTATTCAAATTTATTTGTACTTTATGCTTATGAGAACACATAAATGGACAAGATTTTAGTTTTTTTTTCCTTCTTTAATATTGTGCAATGTTTTATAATCCAGGAGACAACAAAGAAAAGAAGTTCCACCTGTAACTTGAAGACGATATTTAGCCCACACGCCATAAACAGCGTCAGCTATGGTTGCAACCTGTTGACGTCACACTTTCTTATTATTAAGAATTTATGTGTATGAAGTAGATAAGTTTCGAATTAAGGAAAAGGAATGCCAGAAACTCCCACTTAATTATAAACCAAGCATAAAAATTATGCTTACAGGTTCATATTTGGTTATAGCGTACACCCAGCCCAAATCGACAGCTTCATAGAGTTTTCTGAATGCCTGCATACACACAATTCCATAAAGCTAGCTCTCAAATTTCAGAAACTAATTCTTGCTAGAGTAAGATGAAAATTTGACCAGGTATTTAAAAACATTCTCAAGATATTACTTTCCAGAAGCATGTACATAGTAAAAACAAAAAACGTAGAGGCTCGTCAAGTTTTTAAACATTTATTCTTATAATCGTACCTCAACATCCGTCACAACAGTCCCATCTGATTGAATTGCATGAATTCTTCCCATAACCTAACAAATAAGGTAATATTCTTATGACAAAGCAAAGCATTAATGAAACATGGACGCATGTATGTAAATATGATCTTAATAGACAGGGAATCCTATAATGTTTGAGAATGCTTTAGGCTAACTATCAACCTTCTTTTGCCTGAACTGAAACCTGCGATGAGAAACATATTTTTAGGTTTTTGGGTGGGGGGGATCAGCCTTATTGATCTAATGAATTTACCAGAACAGTGATTCATGCAAAAGACTATAAAATTATTAAATTCCAAACTGTAGAAGCAACATACGGTTTTATAATCAAGTCCTTCATTCTCCTCGGGAGTGTATTCTTCTGAACTTATGTCGACAAATTTGATTGATCCATAACTTTTGTTCCTCTCTCTTAGCATGTTCACCTACCAAAATTAGATAAAACTCTGCTTCAAATGACGTCGAATTAGCTTAATGGTTCACTCAAGGTAAAATTGAGTACAATATTGGGAGAAAAGAGCATGTTTGGTATGTAGCACTAGTCAGAAAAGAACATTAAAAAACATTAACTAATTATTAATACCGTTCACTACCATCCAATCCAACTTATCAAATAGGAATACCTCGCGCATACACAGTGGGCATTCCCCATCATAAAGCATTTTAATCTTCCAATTCTGTGATGATTCTTCTCCATTTTGTTTCTTGGACACCACAGGATCCAGAGATGTTCCACTTACTGCCCTAATCGAAAATTTTAATCCTGGGAAAAAGAGATGGGTAGATATTAAACAGATGGAATAAATACAAAAACACTTGTAACCACGTCCATGGCGACCCATATTCCCAGCTAGGTAACTCTATGGAACCAATTTTCTACTGAAAGTAGGGCCTCCCAAATGAGGGTCATCCCTATAAGGGCGTTTGATCCGATACCAACTGTAACAACCACGTTGGTTGGGTATAGCTTACCTTAAAAACCGTCTTGCAAGGGGACGAACTATGCCTTAGGCCAGCGGCGTGTGATACAATTGGGATCAGTAGAGCATATTTGGGAAATCTTAAATTTTAATTTAATCTCGTTCACAACTTATTGCTCATCTATTATTCACATATATACTTAAAATCACTACCAATTTCTTTCCCTCCCCTAAAAGGAAAAAAAAGAATAAAAAGTTAATACACAAACAACCTTAACAGCTGAAAACAAAGAGACCCAGATTCTCCTCACCAGAATACTTCAATCCGTCTTAAGTTCGAACGAGCAATTGGATTTTAAGACAAATATATGATCATTAAATTACGAACCCAGTAAAAATATACATATGATAATTAACATATACCTGTTTGGTGATGTGAAATTGGATTTAATCTTCTACGTGGGCTTGAAACAGAAACATTATATATCGTTCGGAGATAACAAGGAATTGTAAACAGAGATGAATTGGCTTGTCTTCCAACACGAATTGCTCCTCGTAATGCCATTTTCTTGATAATAATTTTGCTTTTCTTTCTTTTATTTGTGAATTGTATGCATGCTGTTTTGTAACGAGAGTGTCCACGTGGCAACACTTGCTTCATCAGAATGATTGGCAGAAATTAAGTTGTACGTTTAGAATACCTAAACATATTTTAAAGTATATTTGGTGCTATTTATGTGAATTTCACTTTGTACAAATGGGTCCAAGTAATGAGGCTTTGGGTTGGAGAAAAATTCATAGTTCAGAGATTATCTTTCACGAAATCAAAAATTAGATCTCAATGTTTAAATTTACAAAACTCAGGTTTTTCTTTGAACTAATTAATTATATTTTACAATTAATATATTAAATTAAATATTTAACTGTAATATAAAATACTCCACCCCCCACCACCACTCCGGTTGCCACTCCGGTGACTACTCCGATAACTACTCCGACAACTATTCTCCGATCGCGCTTAATTTCGGCGAACATTTTCCGGTGACCGTTAATTCCAGTAACTACTCCAATTCCAAGGTTACAGATCAAAAAAATTATATGTCACAGGTCACGTATTTTCAAATTTGCGGGTCACAGATTCCTTTTTTTAATTACAAATTATCAATTTTAAAAGCGAGGTCACAAACACTAAAAAAACCACCACAGTTCAATAACTAGATCACATACACTAGCTAGGTCACAGGCACCAGAAAAAACCACCACAGTTCAACAACGAGGTCGCAGACACCAAGATAAAACCACCACAGTTCAATAGCGAGGTCACAGATACCAGAAAAAATCACCACAGTTCAATAGTGAGGTCACAGACACCAAACCCCCCTTACAATTATAACATTTAGATATGGCTTTTTTGCTCAACAAAACTGCACTCTCAATCGGACCTTTTTTCTCAGAATAATTTTTCGTGCTTCGAACAAGCTATTTTTGATCTAATTTAATAAATTATAACCGTTCAGATCTGAACATGTTAATATGGATTAGGCTGCCTCACTATACTATTCTGGTTGGGCCGCTTGTGTTGTTGGGCCTGTTAAGTTTGATGGGTTGTGGCCTCAATATTTTCAGCCTTACACGTGGCTGACTCTCTGCCATTGGATAAGAACTGTTCATATTACTTAGTTGACTTGGCCTTTTGAGATTTGGACATTCGAGAGTATTCCATTCCTCTCTTCGTCTCTCTGGTTCTCCCTTTTCTCTGTGTGAAATTCTAGGGTTTTCTGCTTTGTACCGTAATCGATCTTAGTGATCTATCAGTCCTAATTCTTTTTGAAAATCTGTATATTGTATAGGCTAGGGATTGATTTTGTGTGGTTTCGATTCTATATTGTTGAGGCAAGATTAACACGAAGAAACCAAAGGTTTCTTCGAACATTTGTAACTTTTCTTGGTTGAAACTTAGTGGATCTAGAGCTATATCCTTTATGGATGATCAACGGGTGAGTAGGTCTTTGTGACTGAATATCCGGACCTTATGGGGTGAAAAATCGCTTGTTCAAAGTGTTGTTTTATGATTCTGCACTTATATTTAGGTTTGTGATCTTCGATCCTTTGGTATCTGTTAGTTTGGGACCTTACAAGTGGTATCAGAGCTTCGTCTCTGGGTTAGGGTTCTTGGTTCTTTTGTTCTTTTCTGAAGCAGATCTGGGTTTTTCGGTTAGTCGAGTGGCTCTTTGTGAGGGAAAATTAGTTTTTCATGATCGCTCATGTGACATCCCGAAATTTTCTAGAAATTTTAGGGACTTAATTGAATTGATAGTGTAAATTATGTATGAATTATAATTAAAATAATATTATGGGTATTGGAAGTGCAATTTTATTAAAAATAAAATAATTGCAAATCTACCCAAGGACCAAATGTGCAATTTCATTAACAAATAAAATTTTAACATCTTTCTCATGGGGCTAAAAGTGCACATGTATAATATCATCAACAAATAGAAACTTGACATTTTTATCCTAGGAGTTAAAAATATAAATTTGTAAATTGCTCAATCAACCCCTAGTAATCACTATAAATATGGAAGGGTTTGGGGGAAGTGAGACATGTCTACTTCTCTTTCCTTTTTAAGGTATGTTTTAACTTTTCCTTCTTTCTTTGTTTAATTTAATTAGTTAGTTAATTATTTAGTTATTTGTTTATTTAATTAGTTAATAATATAATTAGCTAATTGGTTGGTACATTCCAATTTCTTGTTTTTATAAGTTAATTAGTTAGTTAATGGTTTAGTTAATCACTTATTTAATTAGATACTAATTTAATTAATTGTTCGGTTATTTTCGGCACTTGAAGTTTTGAATGATGGAGTTAATTATTTAGTTAATTACTTATTTATTTAGATAGTAATTTAACTAATTATTTGATTTAAGTGCTTAATTGATTTATGAGTGGAAAATCAAAATTATTGTTTTAGGGTTCCTTGATAATTGAAGGAAGATAAAATTGGAATTAAATTTAATTAATTAAATCAAGGATTGTGTGAAAGAGATTTGAAAAA